ATATATATATAAGCAAATGGTCAATTTTAATTTTTGGAAACATTTTTTTTTTGCTTAAGATCGAACAGTGCTTACATTATACCGAAAGTATAAGCTAATGTTCAAGTAACTATAGTTTAGCTTCTGCATTCATATTTTTTATTTTCATCTGTGATCAAACAGAATATACTAAATAAAAAAGGGAAAACATGCTTTTTGATCCAKAATTTCTATGTTTTCTGACATGCTGAAATGTAATAAACTTTACAGAGATGACCATGATTTTCAACCCAGTCTAACTCTAAGTATTTCTTGTATGCATGAAAAATGCCACCATCTTAACAAACAAAACTATTGATGAATTGAGTGTCCCTAATTCTACTTCTACAGTTACAACTAAGTGGTCGTATGCACCACTTAGTTAATATATGAAATTAATGTCACATAATTCTATGTGTAATTCTTTAACAAACTGTGAAGCCTATGATGGTATCTGTAATTAGCTCCACCCCTTTCCCGAATTTCATTGAGTTTCCATTTATTKTTGCAATGACTAGCACACTGTCATCACTTATGTACTCGTATATTTTCTCTAATGCTACAGATGAGCTGGACAGCTACATGTACCAGACAGTGGGTCATCAAGCTATAGAGCTATATGCTGATGCCATGGACCTGCCTCTCTACAGACACACCATCCAGGGCTCCAGCCTGGACACCAGCAGAAACTACAGTATAACAGAGGGAGATGAGGTGGAGGACCTGTATCAGCTACTGCATCTTGTCAAGGTGGGATTGTTTGTSAAAAAGAATTTAAGAAAAAGATTTTTCCTGACAATAATATTTCACCTCTTACATTAACTTCCTGTGCTGTAACAAAATTGTGCATCCTGGCAGAGACAATTGGGACTGTGATACAAAAGAGCCAAAAATGCTTTTATATATAGTATTTATTAGTTTCATTTTAAAATAAAACAAAACAAAACAGTACAAATCAAAATGAAAGGCAGCAGAAGAAGAAAAAAAATCTTATATCTGCTACTATTTACAAAAAATATATTAATTTCAAACAATACTAAACCAAATACTAATAAATATATTTCACAGTGTCTAAATTTGACTTGTTACTAATCTCCTATCTCACTTTGGAAATGCTTTACTTATCAATCATTAGGCCTGTTGCAATAAGCAATAAATCAATTAATTGCATGATGAATTAAAATGAGTTTGATCATTTTTATTTGCCTGATTGTTCGTTTTCTTCATATCTCCCTCTTTTCTACTCCTTAGCGTAAGGAGGAGTGAACTCTCATGTCAGGTATTTGCCAGGCGCTTGGTCTCGTAACCTCTGTAGCATGTGAGCCCGTAAACAGGCAATTTGGTAAAGGATTGTCTTAATTTTTCAGACTGCCTTTTTTTTTCAGCTTGTAATGCCACAGGACCCCCTCAGGGCACCGTGTTGAACCTTGGGTTTGCAGAGTGGTTGTTGTTGTTTTTTATGTACTATGTAAATTTTGTAAACTTTGTAAGCAGCATTAGGGGTGGCCACTAGCCTGGCCCTTGCCTTGCTACGCAGCTCCGCTCAGTTCTAGTTTCGCTTCTCTGCTCCGTCTGGCATTTCTCCCATAGAGAATGATTTCGCTGGCAGATTTTTAGCCAAACCAATCAGAGAACAGAATGTTGATTTTCTGTGCAGTGTCTGCTTGTAGTTTATTTTACCTGGTCCAATCAGCAAACAGAAGACGGGGTTTTGAATGACGTCGATTTTCTTTGCAGTGTCTGCTAGTTAGTTTAGCAATGGCAGTGGAGGAAGTGAATAAAGCCGTTCTGTGTTGATAAGGCTTCCAAATTAAAATAAATTTGTCTGACAAAGCAGCAGTTCTCATTTTCAGTTGTCTCTCGGTACTTTTCTCCTCTCAGTAGGGTTGTTTACACAACACATGATTTCCGGTTAGCTTCTTAGCTTAGCCTCTTTCACAGCGACATACACGCACACTTCAACAGAGGCCAYGCCTCCAGCAAGAATCGCTTCTCTATGCAGCAAGTCCAGACCCTTGTACGAAGCAAAGTGAAGGACAGGGTCTGGTTTTTACCAGGCTAGGTCGCCACAGTTATTTCATGAAACCAGGGGAAGACACATAAAGATTAAATTGTGCCAGCTTGGATAGAGGTGGGTATCGATTTTACAGCTTCAGTAGCTGCTGTTATGTGTTATTTTCATAAACTCTATTCCTGGTCCACCTGTATTTACATAAATTTCGTAAACTTCCATAAATTCCGTAAGTGGCGTGGGGGTGACCACGATTTTTTATGAAGACACACAGTGTCTGTTGTTGTGTGTTGTTTTCTCAAACTCCGGCCCAGGTCAGTTTGACCTGGAAAAGGAAAATGGCCCAGGAAAAACCTGGGCCATTTTAGTTTAAAGTGGTCTCCCATGGATATTATTGTTTATCGCAATAATTTCTGAAACAATTTACTGGGCAGCAAATTTTGTTATGAGCCATGTGTGTTGTACCTGTTTTGCATCACTTTTATAGCAATAAAATTATATTTTACTGGGTTAGAGTCACAGTTCAAGTACAGCATTGCTGTTATTCCTGAACAGCATAAAATGGCACCCATCAACAAGAAATGATGCTTGGATTTAATAGGCAACAATTTGGCATTTGACGTTACCATTTATATTACCAAGCTATGCAAAATGTGCCCCTTTTTTTGCAATGCATATGACCACAAGAAACTCCAAAAGTAAAAAAATGGCGTTAATTAAGTGCACAGTCAAAGTATTTAGATGTTGGCTTCATAGTCACATGGTATCACATCATACTCTCTGATAAAGTTTCTGTTTGTGTCTTAATATCAGGTGGTCTGCTGCACAATCCCTTTTGTCAAGTCTAGTCAATTTGTTTAGAAAAGTAAAAAGTCATGTTAGAGCTTTTAGTCTCTCATTTAGTATGCTTTAACGTCCCCTCTAAATGTGGTAAGTTTTCCTTTCGCCTCACCCCGGAACATTAGTGTGCTCGCTGTATCACTTGATTAAAGTTTTATGCGCCGAGTTGGAGAGAGGTGCCCTTCAACAATGGCTTCACAGGAAAAAAAGTTCAGTATTTTTTATCTCTCTTGACAGAAGATCAGATACAAAAATTAATCACTGAATTAATATTTCATCAAACACCACGTTAGCCAGGACGCTGAGAAAATATTCATTTGATGGCAAATTATGCATGARACCCCGGTGGTCCGGTGTGGTGCAGGGTGGCTGACTGACAGGTTTGAGATAACTGCGTGTGTGTGTTTAACTCACCGTTGGCACTACTTGTCTATCTGACCGCCTGCAGCCATGAGGAAGCTACCTGGACAGAAACCTCAACAGCTCCAAAAGCTTTACCTGCTGTCAACACAAGCTGTTTGTGGGGATTGATCCTGTGTAACACTTTATCCCCTCTGTACCCCAGCACAACCTCATATTTTAGCTAGATACATCAAAATTTAAACGCCTCCTATGGGATTGTGGATAGGAGTTTGTTGTTGAGGTGGGAGTTGGCTTGATGTGGTGGAAATAAGAGGGATAGGCTTTTCCAATGGTCCTTTCTAAAGGTTGATGTGGAGACGTAAAGTAAGGCTGCTCCGGGGCTTCGACTTGTCCACTCATACAGCCTTCATAGCACGAGCCGGTCAGGCCACCTGAAGGCATTTCACACCCACTTCCTGCATTTTTTTTGCCATCTCCTATAAAAATTGCCAGCCTCATACATTTTGCTACACTGGGAAATTCTTGAGCTTGTGTTTTGTTGCAAAACATATTCACTCAGTCTAGTTTTTAACTTTTTTTTTAGCGTCTCGCGATCGTTGGAATTTAAATAGCAGATATTTCTGTTGCATGTGATGCAATACCATCTCTGCCTGTGGCCATTCCTCTAATTGCAAAAGCCTGCTAATTTTCCATTTCCAGGGCTCCTCCGGCCTGACCTCAGCATTCAGACAGGCCATAGATCAGGGCAGTTGGACTCCCACGGGGCCCTTACAGGCCTGCAGACCTCCAGTCATGTCCCCATTTACCCTCCTCACTGTCATCAACAATCCTGCACCATAAACAACAGGCTTCCTCTTTTGCTTACTGAGTGATGGCGACCATAAGAATACAACTTCATGTCTCAGATTTCAGTTTCAGTTGCTGCTCTACAAAGCAGATATTTTTTTATTTTGCATTCACACTAATCAGTATGATGACTAATTTGGACCTTGTGTCCTGCATATGTTAGGTGGTCAGCTTTATTAATTTTGCAGGCTACCTTAAATAAACTTTGAAAATTGAGTCAAACCATCTTAAATATTTGCTTGAATTTATAGATAGCCTCACTTTCAGCCTAGTACAATTTATATTTGTATTTTTTGTTTCAAAAGGTGAATATTCAATCAATATTCAATTAGTAGGTGTTAGGTAGAGAAGAACTAGATGGGGTGAGTGATAAAAAAACTGATAATTTGCTGTTAAAAAAATCTGTTTTAACTTGATTAAATGTATTCTCAGAAGGTGTGATATTTAAAAAAAATAATCTTCAAAACTTTGAATTAATTAATTAGAAGTTACAAGATTATATTTGGCAAAGAAAACTTGACTGTAGATGAAAGTTTTTTTTTCATCAGATCTAAAGTTGATGAGTTTTAGGTGAATATAACTCCCACCTCCTCCTTTCAAATGCTTTCAACAAACTTGTAGCATGAGCCAACAGTGCCATCTATGGATCATTCAGAATCACTGAAAAGCCAAACTTGTTTAAGAATGTCTGAAACCATTCAAACATTTCAAAGGAATATATCATATTCTTCAGAAYTATTGTTGATAGATGAAAAAAAAAACTCTAATTATAATAGAAAAAAGAGCTATCATTTTTCTGGCAGTAGTGATAATAGCWGAGTGACAATGTGGCTTTTTTTGGGCCCTTCGCTCTCATTGCTGGCTGTGCATGACCGTATTCCTTTGAAGTGTGTAACCCGATAGACTTGCAAGCCGTACCATACCCTGTCGCATCCTGCTAGGTTCTGATCTTTGAACCCTGTTCTTTAAAAAAAAGAGGGAGAGAAATAACATTTTTAGGGGAGCGCTTTAAGACATTTTTGGCTTAAGGCTGTATTTTCATAAAAGGAATTGCATCTTTCTCAACTGCAAGGCTTCAAAAGTAAGCTGGGATGTAAGCCTTTAAAGAGACGTCTCTAACTGCAAAACAATTCGATGTTGCTGTTTAGAGTTTCAATACTTGTGGTTTCTTTAGACCGTGTCTGAGTGGAGGCACGTTTCTTTTGAAATAATATTTTATAAGTTGTGTGYCCACCCTTCACTGTGCGGTCGGTCTGCTCCTCTTTATATGATCTGCTCTGATGGGTGATACAGATCAACAGTGTCAGTTACCCCTGGCTGAAACGCCAGTCCCCTGCTGCCCAAAGCCTCCAGACCCCCTCATATTAGTCATATCACATCCCTCAAGTCTTATATCCCTCTCCCTGTGCTCTGTGACCTGACACAGTGGCTCTTTATGCCCCGTGACCCGGCTCGTGTGTGTCTGTTTGCGTGCGTGCCTGTGTTCAAGGTCAGGCCAGTCCAGGCCTCTGTTCCACAATAACGGGTCCATCTCTGTCCTCCTTACACACCTCTGCCTTTCGTCTTTTCCKTCAGTTTGCTTTCTTTCTGCACTTCAGATCACACAGAGATGCTCTCACACCTCTGACCCATCCGTACACTCTTCTTCTCTCAGGTGACACACAAGTTTTGAAATATTAGTTTTTTGTAA